TGTGGCCATATCTTGCAACTGGGGTAAAAGCATAAATGCCGGTATCGAGTTGAAAAACACAAACGCAAAGAAAAAATAATACAAAAGCGGTATTGAATTTCATTTTATAAAGAAGAAAAATTGAACAAAGTTACTCTGAAACTCTCTGGTATTAGTATAAATAGATATTAAGTCTACCGGATCTGGAGTATCATTTTAGCTTTGGATAATTGAACAATCAATAATGTAGGACACTACCACACATAAAAACCAGAAGCGTTACCAGTCAATCTAATCTGCGTTATCTATTACCAAATTCAAACGAATAACTCGAATCTTTTTCTTCATTGATTAAAGCCATGGATAATAAATATCAATGAAAGACCAAAGTGGAGATCTATTTGTAGCGGAAGATAAAAAAAGAATTTAACTCCGAAAATTCATACATGACCTTGAGAAAAATAGAAATAACAAGAAAAGTGAATAGGTCCAATCTGATGTGATCAAAAATTTTGACCCCAAAATAAAACAAAGTCTTCGCGATAAATTTTCGGAATTAGGTTCTCCCGCGCCCATATATCCCTGTAAAACACGGATTTCCATGGATTAAATCAAATCTTATTTTTATTTGGTTACACCACACACGTTTAATCAATACATAAAAAGATTTTTATTTTCGTAATCAACTACCTTATACATTAAATTTCCATCGTTGATATAAATAAAGAAAATAAATAATGAGTGAACAAAATGAAATAATTTATTTGTTGTTGTTTATTTAGATGGTTTGTTTGCACATATATGCATAGAGCCTCAAGTTGATTCATATGAAATCAGTCATTAATCAATCTGAACAATATACCTCTGCTAGACACTTGAGTTAATAGATGTCTCCAAGATAACACATACTGTATGTCTCTATAATTTTTATATAATATAGAAATAAAATAAAATGAACGTCTTTGATCAAAGCAAAAAATCGATTTGACAATTCTCGTTGGTTGATGTGCTATATAATAATAGTATTGCGATTAGTATCAACATAAAACACTAATCATTTTCATCAATAATTAGGTCTAAAAAATGCCACAATTCAAATGACCCTTGATATAATACAAATTTGAAATATTAGATGTGATGTGATAATAAAATCGAACACGGACTTTTCTTTTACACAAATTTACCTTATTTAAAAATCACTCTTCATCTTTCATCTTACAAATCAAAATTATATCAAGATTTGGAAAAATATGTATACTCTACCAAATTGGCACCGGGTAAATAAATGATTCTTACGTAACAGCGATTTTTTACAATTTCTGGTTATTCATATTATTGTTACACAGGTAATTTTGTCCATTCAATTATCTAAAGTAGAGTAGTTGATAATAATATAAACAAATGACGACTTATCGAGTTTGCATGTCTGCCACATTGGTAAAAGCTTGTATTCGTGATTCCAAAATCATGAAATTGTGAGTAATTATTTCGAATATTCCATTGTTGCAGGAATTTAATAACATAAAATAAATGGGCTGACAAAAAAGTTGAACCGTTCTTTCGACATTTGAAGTTGATTTATATTTTGATTATTATGTAATGGGATACTTCAATTCAATAAATTCATCTATATATTGATTTCTTATCTCTTGGTTCCCATACAAAAAATGTCAGGGATTATGATTATAAAAAGCGGAATAATTAGTTATTTTCCTGTTACTATTTATAGAATTATCGAGATAAATTCGCAATGTGATCTCATTTAAGGATCTGCGGTTAAGTGATTGCCATAATAATAAATTCATTCTTTGATGTGTAATCCAGAGTTGCAGTAACAAAAAATTCTGTTTGTTATATGATTTGACCCAGACCAAAATTAAGTTTAATATATAACTTGACCCTATTAAACCTAAACCCAATCTTTTTTGATGTACATAATAATTTGATCCACAGATTGACCCTATTAATGATTGTTACATTTGTAAAAATTTTAAATAATTCGACTCTATTATAATTACTGACAAAAAATTTAATTTATATATGAATTTGACCCAGCTGCGAAGTAACCTATCTATGAAGTTTGTGGGGTCCTATTGGAGCCTGGTTTCTTGTCACAAAAATCACAATTAGGAGACATTTTATCTCAAATATCATTGTGAATTGAACTATATCAAAAGTTTTGGAGTGCTGTTAAAATTATTCCAGAAAGAACTGTAATTATTCATTTAAATAATTACAGGAAACAGTCACATTTACATTAAATTCAGTGTCACTTTGTAAAATTAGAAGTTTGCAAAGAGATGTGGGTGATTACAGATTAGACAGATTAGAACTTCAGGAAGGGCGGCTTTATTTGCTGTAAAAAAATATAAATTTCATAGGAGAGAGTGTTTAGTGAATATGAAAATTTAAATTCAAATTTGTAAAAGATTGCGATTTTGTCACGTGAATAATCGATATAGATGATTGCCGAAATTTCAAATAACATAGTAAGGTTACCCAATTTTAAACCATCATAGCTTTTGTTTTTCATGTCTAGACGACTGCAATATAGAAAATTTTTGGGATGTTTAGTAAAGTATCTTTAGATGATCGCCACTATTTACCACATTGTCATGAACTTTTTCACATTGTGATCCTTTTATATGTCCAGGCCATTTTGAGATCCCATTGTAATTGTAAAAATTGTAATTGATTGATTGGGGGTTTTTCTGTTTAGGAGATGATTTACACAAATGCCCTTTTTCGGTTAGAGTTTCCTTTTTTATATATTTAAATTTAATTCTCTTATTTATAATCCCATATTAATATTATAATTTATTTAAAAGAAAAAAAATGAGCGCTTTTCGTAATTTCAGAAATTCTAGGAGGTACATCAATTTAAGTGATGACACAGGTTATACAGACGAACAGTTCCAAAGACCTCTATATCCAGGTGAATATTATATTAAAAATAGAAGCGAAAGAATTATAAACATTTGAGGGATTAAGATGATTTTTTATTTTTATTTTAAAAAGCTCCGTGGAAATCAATTGCTTTAGCAGCTGGTTTATTTGTAGTTGGATCTTTAGGGATTATTTTTGGATCTCTTATTATGGCTGGTATTGTTTCTGATGAGGTATAACAGCAACGATAATAATAATTATTATTGTAATATATATAAAAATAAAAATAAAATTTAAAAATAAAATTTGTTAGGCTTGGGATGATAGAGGAAAACCTATTCTTTTCCTTGGATCTTTATTATTTATACCAGGTAAAGTTTATCTTCCTTTCTCTCTTTTAAAATTATTATTTGAATAATTATAATAATAACAATAATAATATTCTGATATATATATTCTTTTGAAAGGTTTTTATCATGTTAGGCTTGCTTACTATGCTTATAAAGGATA